CCACTCGCGACCCGCAGCCACCGTCTACTGTGCCAAGGGAAAAGGATGGAGGAGGGCAGTGGGGGGAGGATGTCGGAACAGGGTTTAAAAGAAAAAAAAAACACCCGTGAGCGGGGGCGGGGAGGCAGAATTTAGAAGTGTGTGTCTGCGAGTGTGTAGCGAAAGGGAGGGGGGGAAATGTTACTGTACCAATGGAATCAATAAAGGGAGCTGCACCGGGGTTAAGGACTCTCAGAAGACGGTGCACCTGACTGCCGGAAACAAAGGGGGCACCTTTGCAAAGGTAGGGTTGACCGCAAGCCCACCAGCACCCAGGAGTTATTCCCAGTTTCCCCACCCGACTCGCATTCCTCCCAGGAGCTACACCCGCACACGCGCCTTCCTGCTGAAGCAAAACAAAATACCCCTGAAGTAAATGTTTTGTCTCTCCGTTTTATTTTATTATTCTTATTTTTATTTTATTTGCCGCTACATTGCAAATAAGCTAAAAACATGGGAAACCTACTCTCTGATTCCTGATCTTTATAAAAAGCAAAGCCAAACTTAGCCTTAGTCCACCACTCTTCCCCCCCCCAAACTGCACCGTGACCCATTCCAGGGGGATAAATTCAGCTACGCAAACGTCCAGAAAGTTTCCCCTCCGGATCTAATAACCTCCCGTCACTCTCGGTAGTGAGAGAAAAAGGATTTTTTTTTCTGGCTAAATATGAACCAGATTATTTAATTTTACATCAGAGGAACAAGACTAGAAGTGACTGTCTCTCTCGTATTATAAGTGTGATTGTTGTTCTTGTTACTTCTCATTTGTTGGCGAAGGGTGTATTTCAAAGGAATCATTCCCAAAGAAGCTGAGGTGCTCAGCCGCTTTGAGAGACTAAATTATTCTAGTAAAAACAGAAATATTTCTGCTATTGGTGTGTTTGAATCACCATGAAATATGCTTATATAACTTGAATCTGTTGTTATTTGAGTTTAATCAGGGGTAAAAATAACACCCAACCTCCCCTCTCCAATACATTTTTTTCCTGTCAGTTCCTGCACAGGTTATTTACTTCAGCTACAAATGTTTATCATTACAAGATGGTTGTTGTTATCCATCCTTATATGGCAAATGCTTTAATCTGAATTTTTTTTTCAGACTTGGTGGCAATTTTACAATGCAGAGGATATGATTCTAGAAGCCAAGGCTGAAGTTGCAAAAGCGGAAATAAATCATTCAGAAAGATATTTGACCTTTAACACTCCAAGGTGTACCTCCCTATTAGGAAATAAGTCCCCGTGAGTTCATTTGGCCCTACTCCCAAATAGTAAATGTACAGAGGACAGAGTCTCAGCGTATCGCTTCTCTGACAATGGGTTGTGTAGTTTTCACACTTCCTCTTTGAAGTCCCAGACTTTCTGAATGGAGGCTTTAATAACTGGACTTCAATCGACTTGAAAAGCAGTCAGGCCTGTGTTCCTTTTGTAAGGTGATATGTTTCATTTCCGGAATGCGATTACGACATCTATAAAACAGCAGTGAGCTAAAACATCCACTACCCTCACCCCCACAGACTTGTGCATTGTTTGCGTCTTTAACTGGAGTCTCCCAGGGAGCTCTTAACGGCCTCCAACAAGGATCTTTCCCAAGCCTAAAAGATAACCTATAAATGCAATTGACAGTGTGGGGCGGGAAGGCATCGGCACAAAGCCAGGAGACCAGATATTATGGGAAAGACAAACTGAATTACCTTTCAGAAATTTTTAAATGAAAACAAAGGATGGGGGAGGGGGGAGAGAAAGGGAGAAAAAGAGAATGAAGTCCTGTGTTTAATAAATATCAGTGTCCATAGAATGGGAATGGGGGAGAGTTCCTACAGTTGAATATACAGGTAACTTTTTTCCCCATAGCCTATATTTTGGAAGGTCCTGATATGGCTAGATTCCAGCTTGTTTTCATTGGTCAAATGCCAGTCTCCACATATATAATATGAGCGTCTAGTAAACATTTACACGGTGGAAAAGAGCCTGTAAATTTAACACAGTAAGGGGAGCATTTCGCTGAACTCTGTTTTGAATTGCTTTTGTTGTTTCCTTAATGGCAAAATAAATCAGAATAAAAAGCAGGCACACACATAACAAGCTCACCAGGCCTCCGGCTACTGAAGTGGTTGCCGTCTAGGGAACGAATAATACCAAGGTCTTTTCGTGGCAAATCTTATTTAATTTTTCAGTGGCTGAGTTAGACATTCTGAAACCCACATCTGCTAACCAGAAGCTTTGCCAGTGACTTCTTGAATGAACTCTTGACAAATTTCACTAGGCACGTTCCGAACTGAAGCAAGGTAACTCGCTCGTCTCATTTAAAACAAAACGCACCTAACTCTCAAATCTCCTTAGAATGGCAGCATCTGCTGAATTAAAATGGAAGAATACCACTTTAACAACACCAAGGTTTTCTTCCCACCCCACCCTACCCTAACATTCCCCTCCCGCCTTTCCGCCTCCATTCAGTGGAGGCCTTAAGTCAAACAAACTTAGAATACAGGTGGGGGGGGGGAGGATGTAAGCTTTTTAAGCTTAAAAGTTTCCTTCTTCAAAGGTATAGATCTATTTTCAAATCCTTATGTTCCAGAGATGTACAGAAAACATTTACCTGATAGCCACTAATCCAAACAGATCTAGCAACCCTACACATTGTGTAGATGGAACACTGCATTAGTCACCTTAATAGGACTATAGCTTCAGCGCTTCCAGATCACCGTGGCAAACATTCAGTTTAGTAACATATTTTGAGTATGGGATATCCCCTCGGCCATATTACTTCTAAATTTTGAAATAACTTCAAAGGGATACAGCTTCATGAGGCCAATTAAAGGTCAGATTTTATAATTTTGTATTTAGGTTTTTTTCGGGAGCAGTGGTTGCTGTTTTTAAATAGTTTTACACTGATAAGCAACCCGAGAAGTCCTGTAATGTATTACGTATGTACGCATGTGTGTGTGTGTTTATTCATTTCTACTGGCGGTCGCTTCTGACCCTCTCGGGGTCTAGTACCGCTGTTGGCCACAGAGAGGCAGCACTGAGCATATTCCACTTGGCAATAAATAATCCGACATTCACTGCAGTTGCAGTCAACCAGATACTGCAATGCAATGCACACGTAATTCTTCATCAGCACGGAGAAGGGGGAAAAACCCCACGTCTTGGACATTCAAGACAACCGCATTTCGTCGTTAACGACGTAAATGAATATATTAAAACAGATTTTTTTTAAGGTAGCACCGTCAGAAATATTTTTCTCCGGGATGACCATATGCAAGAAGGAATAATAATAAAGGGGTAAACCACGCGAAATGACTCCTAAGAAAAGATTCAGTCCAACTTTTCCACCAGAACCACGTTATATTTTTTCAGAAAATTCACCACTGTTGCACAGCCTAAACCTGCCCTCCCCCCCACTTTGAGATAGTGAAACAAAATCTCCCAATATATTTAAATCTCAGTTACCCTTAATGAGCAAACCGCATTTCCGGACCTTTAAAAGACTATAATATTACCCAGACTCCAAACAGCACAAGTGACGCAAAAATACTGTACACATTTTATATCTCAAGATCAAATAATCTAATGTGCAATCTGACTTTACCGGAACTAATCTTAGGCTAGAATCTAAAACTAATTGATACGCCACCGGGTTCTTTATTTACGTCTGTCAGCTGATCAGATCATTAATTTAAAAAGGAAAAAAAAGTATCATAATAAAGAAGAAGCTACAAAAGGTAAACAAGCAGATCTGAGAATACACACGATATATATTCCACCTCTGTGATCCTAACTCGATTCTTTCAGAAAACATCTACCGCTTGTGCGAAATACAAACCCATTGTAAAACAAATGTCTTTCACCCATTTAAAATGACAAAAGGTACAGGTGCACCGACGGACATATATATTCCCTGTTTCGTCTGCGCACTGCAAAGTCCAAAAGGCTAAGAAGGCTTCCATTGGTCTCAACGCATCTTTGGCTGATCAATACTCTAAGCCTCTCTAGATAACATGCACGGGCACATGCAGCGGGGGAGAAGGGGGTTTGCTCTATTTCCAGGCTGTCTAATGTCACCAGGTTTTTCTCGCTCATGCTCCTGTTCTGTGCATTTCTCACCTTTTAGGTCCTGGCTCGGAGGCGCTCCTGCTACTTTGACAGCTGTCGTTTTGGCTGCACCGGAGACGAATCGCTCTCCCTTTTTGTGCCAGAAGAAGCAGGAAATTAGCCAGGTTGCGAGTTGAAAATCTGCCATTCCGGCGCTTTGAATCCAATATGCCACACCTTCCGGCGGAGGAACTGGAAACTGCCATCCCAGACCTGTGTTCCAGGCAGCT